AAGTTTTTAAAAAAAAAATTTGGGACCGGGGGGGGGCCCCCCCCCCCCCCCCGGGAGTTGGTGCCCTATGCAAACTGCATACTCTGCGTATAGGGAGTGGTGGTAATGTATATAATAACAGTTATTGCTCTTGGTGTGAACAAGCCTTTACTGCATGCTTAAAAGGCAAGCACGTTTCCATTGACAGTCTAGTATGTGAATAGTGTGGAGTATTGAACTCATACCTCAGTTGGAATATCCACTAAGGCGAACTGCTCATTGAATTCAGGTGAAGATCCCGTCAGCAGCCCTACTATGGCGAGCCCTGATATACCGATGCTCCACAGCAAGGGCCGATTCTCAGTGAGAGACTCCATGAAAGGATGGCCCTGGAACAAGACAGTGTGTTGAATCTAGGCTGCAGGTCTCAAATCTCATCGGTGCTTGAAGTGTTGTTATTGTTAACTAAAATTATTAAAGGGATAGTTGACCCAAAAATGAAAATTATGCCATGATTTCCTCACCCTCAAGTCATTCTAGGTGTAAATTACTTTCTTCTTTCAAACGAATGCAATCGGAGTTCTATTAAAGAATGTCCTGGCTCTTCCAAGCTTTATAATGGCAGTGAATGGGGGTCGAGATTTTGAAGCAAAATAAAGTGCATCCATCCATCATAAAAAGTGCTCCACACTGCTGTTAGTGAATAAATGCCTTCTGAAGTGAACTGATGCGTTCGTGTAAAAAAAAAAAAAATCCATATTTAAGACTTTATAATCCATAATCTCTAGTTTCTGCTAACTGTCGTACACACCTTCACTAAGAGAGTGGCGTTCCAGCGGATGACGGAGGACAGAGGCGTAGCGTAAGCTCCGGTGAGAATATGCTAATCTTGCAAGAACCAAATTTTTCATACAAATCCATATTTAAGACTTTATAATCCATAATCTCTAGTTTCTGCTAACTGTCGTACACACATTCACTAAGAGAGTGGCGTTCCAGCGGATGACGGAGGACAGAGGCAAACGTGGTGATGAAAACAAAACAAAACACCAGTCATGAATTAGAAGTATATAAGCCAAGAGGAGACTGGTTGTATGAAAAATTTGGTTCTTGCAAGATTAGCATATTCTCACCGGAGCTTACGCTACACCTCTGTCCTCCGTCATCCGCTGGAAGGCCACACTCTTAGGGTGCTTTCACACTTGGTTCGATTGCTTGGTCCAAACCCGAGTTCGATTGCTCCCCCCTCCCCTTGCCCCCGCTGGACTGTGTTCACATTATATTATTTGGGTCCGAACCGCAGTTCGTTTGCGTCATCAAGCCAGCAGCTGTTTACCCCGTTATTTAGTAATGATGGCGCAGGAGAAGACGACAAAATGCGTAGCAAGGCTCTCTTCAATTTTATATTTATGTTTTTGAACCGTTGGTTTTGTTTCCAAAGCTTCAGTACATAATGGCACTTACGTCTGCCTTACGAATGTACCGCAGATGCTCTAAAGTACTCTGAAGGTGAACAGAAATGAGATATACAGCTCTCTGCTTGCAAGTCACGCTCGTCAAGAAAGTGAGTGAAACACACAAACACATTTTTATCAAATAATACGTCATTAATAGCGGTTCACTTGTGTGATTTGGTACGATTGCATTCACATCAGCAGCGAACCGTACCGGAGTTCACTTGAACCATACCCCAGACCACCCTTTTTAAGCGGACTCGGGTACAGGTCGTGGGTGCGCACCCGAGTTCGGAAGACAGCGTTCACATCATCCAAACGTACCGAACTCTGACGTCAATCGAACCCGGGTGTGCACCAAAAGTGCTAGCGTGAAAGCACCCTTAGTGAACGTGTGCACGACAGTTAACGAAAGCTAGAGATTACGGTTCATAAAGTCTTAAATATGGATATTTTATTTTACACAAATGCATCGCTTCACTTCAGAAGGCCTTTATTAACCCCCCGGAGCCGTGTTGAGCACTTTTTATGACGGATGGATGCACTTTTTTGGGCTTCAAAATCTCGACTCCCATTCACTACCATTATAAAGCTTGGAAGAGCCAGGACATTGTTTAATAGAACTCCAATTCGTCTGAAAGACGAAAGTCATATACACCTAAGCATGGCTTGAGGGTGAGGAAATCTTGGGGTAATTTTCATTTTTGGATGAACTATCCCTTTAAGTGCTACAAAGCATAAATTCATTACAAAGCATCATTATATGTGATTGATATCAAACTAACAATTAAAGTACCTTATAATTAATGGCAAATGTGGCCATTTGCATGGCCATCGACATGATGTATACAGTACTGTTAATGAGACTGGGCTCAAACTCTTTGTACAGGTCCACAAACTGCTCTGCCCTGCAGGAGAGGGGGAAAAAAAGGATAAGAGAGAGAGAGGTGAAACATGAAGCCAGATTGCAAATGTTATGAAAACCAAACACAAATGTGAACAATGACATCACATGTCATGTCACTGTCAGGCAGAATTATTTTGTAAAGATACTGGGAAATCCCACTTGGCCCATTCATGTGGTGATAAGTATCCTATTTCCATTCATACCTGGGTGGACTTCTGCTCTGTGCCCCCCTGTACAGGTACACCAGACTGCAGAAGTGGACTGCAAACTGCAGCAGCACTGTGAGGACAGTGTACAGGTTGAAAATGTTCGGTAAAGGCCGCTCTTTGGACAGAGTCTTCAATGGCTGAGGCAAAAAAAAAAACAGACATAGTTCAGTCAGCGAATCTTGGTCCATAACAAACTACAAGCAGCTTGACAAAACATTACAATCTCACCTTTGACCTTGAGATGAAGAGAAAGCAGCCGGCCAGCAGCAGCCCCTGAAGAGTTGCCTGGAAGTCGCTGAATTTGACCCCCTCCAGGTAAAGCACAGACTGACTGTAGGCCAGAACCAGAGCGTTCAGCGCCAGGATCTTAAACATCTGCAGGGTGGTCACCAGAGTGCAGCGCCCCTGTTTAATCACGTGACAGACTGAAAACAGATGGGGCAATGTTAGGCCAACCGTACGTAGGACTAAATGAGAGCGCTCAAGCTGATATAAAACATGTGTTACTTACTGCACTGTATGGAGGACAGTTTAGAGGTGAATGGAGCAGCAATGGAGGCATCGCCCAGTTTAACCACCTGAATCTGATCCTCTTCTAGCTCTCGCAGCACCTGACTGATCCTCTCCTATGACAAGTCATTGATGCAACATATGGTTACATGTTTGGAGTAAATACTACAAGCTTAATAGGCAAGGTTCACCCAATGTTGTATTTTTTTTTTTTTAAGTCAATGGCTACCGTCAACTGTTTGGTTACCAACATTCTTCACAATATCTTCTTCTGTGTTCAAGAAAGAAACTCATACAGGTTTGGAACGGCATGAGGGTGAGTAAATGATGACTGGATTTTCATTTTTGGGTGAACTGGTTAAATGCTGACATTCAAAACATGTAAACCACAACCTTCTGTGCGGCGAGCTGCTCCTCTCTCTGGGCCATCATTCTCTGTCTGGCTGCACGGGAGCCGAGTTTGATGCCTGAACTCGGGACTGGGGGTCTAGGCTCTCCAGAGGAGTACTCTTTGTCTTTGCTTCTCTTCTTTTTCTCAGGCATGTGCTCTGGGGCGTTAGCTAACAACGCCACACCTGGTAAACACAAAAGACATGCTATGGTATGAGTACATCTACTGTATATCAACTCTGTTAAACCCGACACGAAACAATTGTCTGAATTTTTTTTTTTTTTTTTTGAAGTTGAAGAGTTTATTGGAACTTTGGACAAAATATAAACAAATCCAACTTTTAAAAGTTGCCATCCATGTGGTTTTTGTCAAGTATCATATTTGATGCATCATGAAAGCAAAAAAGACACGTGTGCTATGACCTGATAGGGCTTTTTACTTGCTATAAAAATATGAACTATCAGTCAGATAACAGAAGGCATGTGGTAAATTGTGTACAATTTGTTTCAAATTTGTTTTCAACAAAGTTTTGATCATGCTGATAATTTAGAGTTATATTTTGCTTATCAAATATGATACAGTAGACTTTATAGGGTAGCCTTTATAGCTTATGTTCCAGATTCAATACAAGACAATCCATGACATGCTGCCAATTGATGATGAAATTGTCTTTTAATAAAAAAAAAAAAAAGAGCACAGTTAATGCACTCATATTTGTGTTTAGAGCGGTGGTTCTCAACCAAGAGGATGGAGTCCACTAGGGGGCCTCAGCAAACTTCTGAAGGGGCCTAAGATGACACTAAATGATTTAAAACAAGCTAATACAAGATATTTCTCTTTTCACCCCCTCAAAAACTATCTTTAAAGAAGCAGAGTTCCCACATTTTAAAACGGAATAAGTTATTTAATTTAAGGTTTTATTAAATACCTTAAATTTAAGGTTTTATTAAATTTAATAAAACCTTAAAATGCCATGGGTATTTTTTTATAATCATCACACATATATTTATGCCAAGAAATCACAAACAACTGGAAAATTAAATGGTTAAAAAGAGCGGGATGCCAAAAGATCTTAAAACTTCAGGAAATGTAATTATTTTAATTTGAATCATAATTACCTTCGCTAATTATTCAAATCTAATCAATGGACACATTTAGTTTCTGTAAAAAAAAAAAAAGTTGATAGATTGATTGAGGAGCTGTCACAGTTAATTCTAAATATAAAAGAAATGCTGTTCTAAGACTAAATTTACAGCGTAAACAAAGTGCACTACAAATAATACTAAATTGAAAATTTGTCTCTTCAGGGTTATACAAATAACTGTATACTCCTACAGTATACAAAAAATACAGAAGTACAAAGTAAAAATGTTCCAGATTTTAAGAATTGGCTTTAGTTGAGTGACAAATCACACTTATTTAATTTTGGAAAGAAAATGCAGTGAATTTATTGATTTATTTAGGCTACTGTATATTGCTGCTGCCACACAGATCTAAAATAAACAAGCGATTTATTTCCCAGCTGTTTACCTTCACAGACATAACCGACTGTTCTTGTAACTCATGTGTGTTTTTAACGTAAACGTGTGTGTGAATGAGAACTTAGTGTAGTACTCGCATGCGGTGATAGCCGCTTTCTGTCCGTGTGCTTCGGATGTGTGCACTCAGAAAACCTTATATCTGAAGTTTAAACTCATATGGTTTAAAACGCATGATTTCAGCATGATAAACATGATAATCAGAACCAAAACAGATTTTTTTAGCAGGTACCAACTGTAATGGTGCAGCACTATTCTGGAAAAGGGGGCGGGGAGCAGCAGCTCATTTGCATTTAAAGACACAGGCCTGAAAAACAGCTTGTTTCTGCTTCCACTCAAAATAGGCATTTTCAAAATGATATAATAAATGATCTGTGGGGTATTTTGAGCTGAAACTTCACAGACACATTCTGGGGACACCAGAGACTTATATTTACATATTGTAAAAAGGGGCATAATGTCACCTTTAAACAAAATTTACCGTCTATGACATTCAGCATGTTTAATGACTCACCTATGTGGGCATGTTTGAGTGCCCCAACATCATTTGTGCCATCTCCACACATCAGCGTAACGAAACCCAGTCCCTTCAGACTAGTTATGACAAACTCCTGCACAGACAGGAAGAATCAACAGCGTTAACAATGCTGAATACAGAGTGTGATAATTCAACTATCAGCAAAGGTTTCTCAAACTTGTAAAGCTGACCTTCTGTTTAGGGCTGACACGAGCAAAGACTTGCACATGAGGAAGCAGGGCGTTGAGTAAACTGGGTTCATAGGTCATCCTGGTCAGTCCCTCTCCTGTCACACAGAGGTCGTACCGCCTGACCAAATCTGAGACTGAGGAAGTAGGGAGAGGGAGGCGCACACTGCCGTCTATGGACACCCACTGCCATTCAGCTGCAAAAATAGAGGCGATTCAGTGAGACGCTGATTTCAAATATGTTCCTCTAGCTCTCTCAGAGCAGTATTGTTAGGGATGTCACACACCTTGATTGGGGCTTTGCTGCAGTACAAGCGTGTGCTCCTTCTGCATGAAATGCAGCTCTCTGGCCACATGACACGCTGTTAGAGGGTTGTCACCTGTGATCATTACAACCTGTGCACAGAGAGTGTGACAAATGTTAGAAATGATGGAATAACCTACAATAAAACATTATAAAACTATAAGAAATGTTCTGGCAAGGTTTATAAACACAGCCCTGCGAAAGACACATTATACGTGTAATCAAAATTGAGACTGAAATCATAAATTATCATGTGACAGACAAGTTTGATATGGAATCACTTAACTTTTTAATAATCACATGATCCTTCAGGAAACATGCAGATTTGGTGGTAAAGAAACTCTTACCATTACGGTTTAAAACTGCTTTTTTGTGGAAACCCTGATAGACTTTGAATGTAAAGTTCAAAAGAAAGGCATCTATTTTTGAAATATTTTGCAATACTGAGAAATGTTTTGTAACATTATGGCCAATTTAATGCGCCTTGCTGAATAAAACTATTAATTTCTTTTTAAAATCAAACATATTACTGATACCAAACTTTTGAATGGTTGTGTACATATAAATAAAATATATATAAATCCAACATTTACATGCATGTAAACATTTTTATGTATATATTCAAATATACATCATTTAGGATTAGTTTACATAAGAAATATTTATAAATAACTCCTAAAACAGAAAATTCACTAGTGGATAAAATATACAAAACCAGTACTTTTAATTTATTAAACCATTTTAAAACCTTTAATTTTGCCCAAATTTGTATAAATCTTTCCAAATATTTTTGCATTTCATTACGACTCATAATACAAATGTCAAATGCATAAATATAAGTGCAAATTAGTGATACTTCCAAACTCCAAGACAAACACCCACCTGTTCATACCTTTTTACAACTATTTCTAACAGTGCAAAATTGTCAATACTATGGCGATAGTACAGCAATATTAACTGTTAACTCTTTCCCCGCCAGCATTTTTTTTAAAAGTTGCCAGCCACCGCCAGCGATTTTCACTCAAATTTAATGGCCTCCAGTATATTTTGCTGTATGAATATTTGAATATGCAATACACCAAAATAAATATCAGAGCCTCTACTTTTAAACAAAAAAAAATCAGTTTTATTCTAGCTTAAAGCATTTTTTTTATCAACACTTGAATATACTGTAGGTAGGTTTCATAAAAAATGCATTATTTTGAGCAAAAAGGTGAGAAAATCACATTTTTATCAAAAACTACATCTGGATAATATTCAGTACAATTATCAAAGCATAAATCCAGTAAATCGCTTCCATCAATACCTCCAAAGCTTGCACAGACATATACCACTTCCTGGATCAACATTTTACTCTGTAACATTATGCAGTTTTCATTTATATGTTTCATTCAATATGTCTATTGCTGATGATAGCATTATTTTTCATATGCATCTGTTTACATAAGAGATCGCTAGTTTCTCCGTCCTGTTCACGTGTGTTTTTGTTCGGGAGGTTTTGTACTCGTTCAGAAGATGCATAATAGCGCCCCCGAGTGTATAACAGTGAAAACACGAAAAGCTGTAAAAACTCGTCTTTGGCGGGGAAGCGTTTTCTTCTAAAAGACGAGATAACTCGTCAATGGCGGGGAAAGAGTTAACTAAGTAAGTTAACTCACATGGTGTGAGGCCTCTTGTATCTCTCTGATAACTGCCTTGCTGTCGGTCTTGAGAGGACAGGACACGACCATGAACCCTGCAAAGCGCAGGTCACACTCCAGCATGTCCCGGCTCACCTCCCTCACCTGCACACACACAACAGACTGTGATAAACAGCAGAGCATGTGGACATGTGACGTTTAGCGTTTCATTCAGTGATCGCTACTGAATACCTGCTGATGGGTCAGGTGGCCCATCTCTTTGTATCCCAGTGCAAGAACTCTGGCTCCCTCCCGTGACATTTCTCTGTGCACCTCGTCATAGCGGGCCGGACACTCAGAGAACTGAAAAACAACAGTGTCTATATTATTCATGACCACCAATCTATAGCACCTATTTGGTCGTCAGAAGTTATAATGCACAAAATAATTCCCACAAATTCAGGTCAAAACGGCAGCAAAAATTAACAGTTATGATATAACAATTTTTTGGTCTTCACTAAAAGCAAAAATCACAGCCAATCAAACAAAGCAATTAGGCGTACATATGGCTTAGTGCCATTTCGAAATTGCTAAGACTAAAAAAAAACATAATTGAATGCTCATTGTGATAATAATGAGAAATTATTATGATACGGTGTTTCAGCATCTCGGAGCATCTACGTTCATTTACTATGAATCAACTGTTCTGAGAAGCTGAAACAATATTCTCAAACTGCTCCGAATACTGAAATACCATTTCATGAGTTGTGCGTGTGTAAATGAACACAGTGCCGTGCTGACACTCGCAGCGCATATATAATAATTTGCCAGCAAAACGAAAGCTTGATAGTTTAACATTTGAAAACAAAATTTAGATGTAATGTAAATAGTTGTACTGTAAATTTACAGTTGTACTATAAACATTTTTATTCTATTAAATACATTTTTTCACAGTAAAATGGTGGTATTACAAGTTTTTTTTATTTTGTTCATATTTTTATTTAATAATAATAATCACAATAAAAAAACTATTATTACTATTATTTCATCTTGAATGGTTTACAAACAGTATAAATGTGGACTATAAACACTCAAGCGGAAAGATATTTTTAAAGACTGTTCACTTTATGGTTACTGAAAAAGTTTTGACTTGATCCTAGTAAAGAGTAAACAAAGCTTTTTCCCCATTTTTATTTTTCCAAATTATTCAGCCTTAATAGGGTGGTGTGCACCCAAATAATTCTTCAGAGTAAGTCTTTTTCATAGTTTTTCAACATTTTTATTCTCTATGCAGACGCACTCCCCTACAAAGTTATCCCAATCATTCTAGAATTAATTAATTATGTACAAACAGTGCAATTAAAGTCATAAAATGGTGAAAATTCCTGTATTTTCCCCACAATACTGTATATCATAGATATCAAAATGTCACCATGTTTATGTTTTTTTTCCCCCCTCAAGTGTCGATCCCGAAAAGCAATCACTTAACTAAAATAATTTTACAGGGCTTCCTAGACTGACTAGTCAACTACTTGTTCTAGCAACCAATTGACTTTAGTTTTAAAATATACAGTTTTCCATATCCCTACTCAGAACTCAGTGTAAAGTTTAACCCTTGGACTAAAGTGTGTGAGGGAGCAGAACTAAAAAAAAATGTGCATGTTAGCAGTGTTATCATTCAGTGTTTGCCAGAGCTGGCACAGATCCTCGGCAAAATACAGAACTAACTATCAGCAGTGCACCAGACATATACCTAAAGACCAAAAGAGATGCTCACCATGTCCTTCAGGGTCTCTGGTGCGCCTTTAACAGCTGAGATATAGCAGAACTCAGTGGAGCCCATCCGCTCATATGACGCCAGCACTGACATCCTCTTCAGAGCACTAGCGAAATGAAACCTCTGGTGGATCTTCAGCCCCGGAGTCTTTATACTGCGAGGAAACACCTTCTCATCTGCATAAAGCGACAGAAACAGTGTCATACATAAAAAATTCAAGTGTGTCTACTACATGTTCAGTCATTTACTCACATTGATTCAAACCTTTTCTGACATTTTCAGTGAAAAATTATGTTTTTCAATATTTTACTGACAAATAAAACAGAACATGATGAAAATGTGCAAAATTATCAAAGTGGCAAAAAAAAAAAACGCAAGAGAAAAACGCTTTTGACTACATCGTTGTCGTGTAAACGCAGCCTAAGACAGATTTTTCCCTGACCTTCTTTTCTCTATAAATGAAGGGCGCACACTATTGCTGAAAAACACAATCACTACTTAGCAGTCAGATGTCCGTATGCACAAAGGCACAGATCCCTAAACAAGACCATATCTGCAGATGAAACTTTTTTTGTAGAGACATTTTTTAAATTTGAACTAGCACCTCATGACTACACCACATTATGTACAAGAAGCTGAAAAAGACACAGGCGCAAGCGGAATGCAAAAAACTTTTTTTTTAAATGTTGTTGTGATTTTATAGTGTTTTTTTATGTAAATATAATGGGCAATATATTGCGCCACCTAAAATTATTGAGGTCATGTACATATATTGTGCAACAAGTTGATATATTGATTATTGCGACAGGCCTAATTAGTGCCTTCTCAGTGATGATCTGGAATAAATCTAAACATGAGCTCAACTGTACTGCTTGCGATTGTGGTTGCTGAATAGATGCACTTTTGCAACCTCTGTGCCACAATAGAAAAATCCTTTTTGTTATTGTTTTAATAGAAAAACATTAACCTAATTTGGAATGGTTAATACTAAAAAGTTCACAGGTTTAGCAAGTGAGAGAAGCTTCTTGCTTTACCAGTTTTCATAATGTAGAGAGTGTGTTTATTTATATGATAGGCTAAACATAATAAATCAGGAAACTAGACGATGTAGATTAACCCAAGCATATGATTTGATGTTCTTTTGATGTTCTTTGAAAGTGTCATAATTCAAATTAAATGTAAAAAAAAAATTCTCAAATTACAATATTGTGATTATAAATTGAGCAAAACAATGATTATTAGTTTAATCATTAAAACGCAGCCCTACACGTAACGATCATATGTAGCGAATCAGACCTTTAGTGAGCATCCAGTCCGCTGCGGTCAACATGGCCTTCTCCAGCGGATCTCCCACCAGCTGTCCATCATCTAGTGTGACCAGCGAATGACACGTAGCCACCACCCGATGAGTGTCCACTGGAATATCTGACACTGGCATCACTTGTTTCCCATCTCTAAAGAAAAGAGGAACAGAAAAGAGACAATGGATACGCTTTTCACATTTCTGGGGTTCGCCGAAGTCATCATAGTTGGGTAAACTTCAATAATGGTGAACCAAATCTACATCAAACCATTTTTGTGGCCCCATTTGATCCAACAGCAAATTAAAAAAAAACACAATAGTGTTTCGAAGACTTTCGAAAGAGGAGAAAATATAGAAAGATTGATTACGTTGGTCAAAAGAGAGAAAGATGCCAAGCTGCGTTAACAATTTTTCTGTAGTTTAATGCCAAGGTGATATGCATGTTGTAATAGGTAATAACTGTGGAAACATGTGATCCACATGGAGGAGGAAGACCATTTTTAATGATCTTGATGTTCCGGCTTTACCCGAGTCCTGCGACACCACGCACTACCAGGCTGTCACTTGTCAGGGTGCCAGTCTTGTCGAAACAGCAAATCTCCACTTTCCCAGCGAAGGGGATTCTGAAAGGTTCTGTGCAAAACACATCTGTAAGGGAAGAATATGAGAGAATAAGTGTGAGAAGTGAGAGGATAGTGAGATTAGGTGACGATTACAGTATGTTGAATCCAGTGCAGTCACTCACAGAGTTTGGCCAGGGCTATGAGAGATGTGTTAACAGCCAGTGAGAGCTCTATGGGTAATTCAGGAGGCACTACTGACGTGAGGATCAGAGTGCACTCCAGAAACAGCTTATATTTGTTTCTGTTCAGGTCCTTCGTCCCTGAAAGACAGAGAGTGAAGTATGAGACAGCTGATACATAACATGTAATGCCCATCTAGGACCAAGGACCAAGGATAAAACAGTAAAAACTGATGTAATATGCTGTTGATATGCAAGCAATTTCATACCACGTATGCGTGATAGAGAAAGTGTGATAGAGAAAAAGGCAACGAAGAAGTCTTTTTTTTCCTGTTATGATGTAGATTTTTGAAGTCATAAATTAATCTATTACTTTTCCTACATCATTTTTAACAAAAACATTGGTAAAATATCTATTCAGGAGTCTTAGACCTTTCCAACGATATATAGTTTGTCATGATTAGATTAGGATTTAATTGTAATATATTGAAGTAAACATAGGCGTCCCACAGAGGGGACGGGTGACAGTTAAGAGGTTAATACTTAAAAATTCATCAAAAGTGACAGTACAAAAGGTTAGTTACAAAAGGTTTCTATTTAAAATGTATCACAGTTTCCAAAAAAATGTTAAGCTATTTTCATCATTGATAATAATAAATGATAATAATCATTGAAAATAGGGCTGCACGATAAATCGCATGCGATATTTAATGCGCATCTTGTCAGAAAGCCGGTTCTGTAATCAGCGGTAAATCTCCATCACGTGTGTGCTTTCTAAAATAACTAGTTTAAAATATTTGAAAATGTAATTTATTCCCGTGATGATAAAGTGAAAGTGAAAGTGACATGTGGCCAAGTATAATGACCCACACACACAGTGAACACACACACAGGGTTCAGTGCCTTGCTCAAGGGCACCTCAGTCGTGGTATTGAAGGTGGAAGAGAGCGCTGTAACATTCACTCCCCCACCTACAATCCCTGCCGGTACGAGACTCGAACCCCCAACCTTTGGGTTACGAGTCCGACTCTCTAACCATTAGGCCACAATTTCCCCTGAATTTTCAGTCATTACTCCAGTCTTCAGTGTCACATGATCCTTCAGAAATCATATAATATGCTAATATGCTGATTTGCTGCTCAAGAAACATTTCTCATTATTATTATTATTTCTCATTAATGTTGAAAAAAGTTGTGAAGTTCAAAAGAAAAGCATTTTTGATAATAGAAATCTTTATAATATTATAGAAGTAAAATTTATAAAAGAATTCAATTAAAATGCGAGGATGCAATCTGTTTTTAAATAAACATATGCAAAGATATGCAGATATTTTTAAGCGTGTCTCAGAAGTACAAATATTCTGGATAATCAGATTCTGGATAAATTGAGAATCACGATTTTTTTTCCGTCTGAAATAGAGATCACGATTCTCCCACAATTTTGAACTAAACAAAATAATGTGTGACAAAATATTATCGTCTATTTAAAAGTGTTCAATTCATTTGAATGAATTATTAAACACTTTAATATATGTATTTAAAATATAATATATTTAATACACCATTTTTTATATTAAATGTTAATATGAATGATTCAATGACTCACTCATAAATACTTCAGTTGTTAACTTGTTTCATTACTGGATGAATCGACGTTTTTGAACGAATCTCTTGAATGAATGATTCAATGACAAATTCATTTTTCATCAAGTCACTCTTCAATGCAATCGACAAACATTATTTGAAGCGCCAGACCGTTACTTTCAAAAGTGGATTTGCTCTAGTGTGATCGCTACCATAACATCAATGTTTATATCTGAACTATAATCTTTCATCTCAGTATTTCTGTGATAATATGAATGACTGTAAAACAGAAATAATCTGTGTAGTTGAAGACTGTTTGACACAAAGACTGTCTGTGAAGCGGTTTCTTATTGCCTAAACATTCTAACTGTCTGCTCTCTCTGTGTCAGCGGCAGCGCAAACACAGATTTGAATGTTCCAGGAAGACATTTTCAAAGGTTTAATAGACACGGCCGAATCATTGTCACTTAAAAATGGGACTGCATGAGTGTCTGAACAGAGATCGCGGTCTTTTAACGGTTTATCATGCAGCTCGACCATTATAGACAGATTCCATGAAACTCACCAACTGAGACAATGTCTCCAGGAACTAGTTCATCACTGGATACAGGCCTCCATTTTCTGTTCCGATAGACCTGTTACAGATGAAAAGAGCCCAAATTATATAATGTACTCTTATTCTAAATCGCGGTTTATTAACTAATCAATAAAGAAAGATAATGTGTGTCATATCTTGAAGACAGTCATGGCAAGATCAGCCTATTACTTTAATAAAATAGTTATTACCTATTTTATAAAACCTACTTTATTAAACCTTTGTGTGACCTTTTAGACAGTTGTGTCCTTTTCAGTTTAGTTTTTTTGGTCATTTAGCCTGTGTTATTGCCAACTGCATACATTTTGGCACAGGTGTGTATTTTTATTGGAGTTTTACTATTTCGCTTCCATTTCCTATGGAATGTATGGATGTCAGAGTGTGGTTTGTATGTGTCTCATAAAAAAAAATTGTGTGTGTTCTTGTAATATTTGAGAGAGAAAAACTCTACTGCAAATCACAAATCCAACCACTGTGTGCACCAGTGGAGTTTTGCTGCCATCTAATGGGGAAAATTTGGTACTGCGCCCAAACAAAATCTTACTGAAAGCTCATTTTTTGCGATATCAACCTAAAATTTGCAACACAACTTGTTTAGATTTATTGCTTCTATTTTCTAGCAGGTTTAGAGTTCAACATGTTTCATAAAATATATATTTTATATAAAATATCATTCATAAATCATTTTCATAAACTTAAACCTCTATAACTTTGTTTGTTTTACTTTTTAAACTTTTTTCTTTTACTTCAACAATAATCTGCCATGGGTTTTCTTTAAAATGAGTCTAAACGTAGCTCTGTGCTCCCAAGCTTCACATTTTTATGACACTGACATTTTTGTCCACTATGGACCTATGTAGGGATGTAACGATTCACTCAACGCATGATTCGATTCACGATTTTGATTTCACGTTTCGATTCGATTCACGATTTTATTAAATTTTTTACAAAATGAGATTTAAGACAAATTATAAATTAAATGTGTCCTTTTATTATTGCTTGGACAAAATGCTGCACATTTCTTTGTGAAATTGAAATATAACACTAATAATATACTAATGTAGCACTTGCATATTATTGCTTTTTTGTTGGTTTTGATTGCTTCTATTGTCCTCATTTGGAAGTCGCCGTTTTTAATCTAATCTTCACTGTATAATTTCGAAATTTGAAGCAAAATCAGAATGGTTTGACTTCAGTTTTGTGAAACTATACATAAAAATATCTGCATGAAACAGCGGACGAGCTGAATGAGACGCAGATGCACTCTCTGCCAGCAGGTGGCGCTTAAAGCGTTTCCTTGGTTCCCACTGTAAACACTTATGTTTGTATGAACACTTCATACACTTATGAACTTTACTATGCATTATACAGAGGCAAGATGAATAGAAAAAATACCATCTAAACTTTTCTAAAGACAGTAAGTTCCCCTCAGACATGCATTCATATAAACTCCTACACCTAAATGAATCGCGATTTGTTTAGCATCTCAATGGATTTGAATCGTCACATATTTGAATGGATTTTCAACCGGCTCGCAGTTAACCGTTACATCCCTAGACCTATGTGTAACTTTTTTTAATTGACGCACAAGGGTTAAGCATGTTCTTTGAGCCCCATACTTTCGACAGACATATAGTCCCTGGCAAGCAAACAATAACAGAAGGTTTTCTATATATTGTAGCTGTGCTTATTAGTGATCGACCGATATTGATATTTTATAACCGATACCAATTATTTGCATGTTTATGTGCCCGATAACCGATATGCAGAACCGATATTTATTTACTGTTATAAAGTAAATAAATGACTGAGTAAAGTAAGTCCATGCTTCACTTTGGTTTTTTCTCCTTTCAGTCATCTTAAAAAAAAAAAAGTGTTGAAAATTAGCAGTCTTTCATGTTAAATTGAATCTTCATATTACAACAATAAAAAAAACTTTTTATTTAAAGCATCAGCAGCAACACTAAAATTAACAATAAGCAAAATAAATGTAGAAGGTCTAATGTTTTCAAATGGAGAAAATAAATAAAGGACA